TGCTGTTGTCTGAGAAAATCTGATGTATTTTCAAGTAAATCTTCAAAGGAGAAATTTAGAAAATTCTGGTCCTCCAAGTGACTTGTTCTGCTCACTCTGCTGCCCAGTTGCAAAGTTGCACACACACCAGTGGCAGAATCACGTCTCCTGGTGGCTGATGTCACCTGGCCCACCTGGCTGTGCGTGTTTTATCCACTTGCTCTGTCACCTTCCCGGACAGCCTCAGGAGTGGCCCTGGACCTTGTCCCGCCTGAAGAACTCTCTCAGATCATTAAAGGGTGAACAGTCATACCACAGTGGTTTTGTAAGAGGAAATTTGGAAGCTGGTGTTTATTTTGTTTCCCATCATGACCAGGACAAGAGGCAGGTGCAGGTGGTTTTTCTAAAGGTCACAGACTTCAGGCCATGGATCTGAGTCTTTGTCTTTGAGACGTGCATGGGTCTCTAACATGGAAGTCCCGTCAGGAGCTGTGCCTGGGCAGTGGCGTCCGTGAGCTCATTTTTTTCCCCAGGACAGTGAGCCAAATGCTTCTCACTTGTGTCTGTGGGTTGCCCTGTCCCTGCTCAGGTTTAAACCAGGCTGCTCTGCCTCCCTGAGAAGGAGGTGTGGGCCAGGCAGAAGGAGCAGGGAGTCTACTGGTGAACTTTCCTGAAAATTCCACCAAGAGGTATTGCTGGGAGGGAAGTAGGTCCGAGGTCAAAGGTGAGGCAGATGCTAAGAGGAGCTGGAACAGAACCAGGACCAAGACCACCCTTCCTGGGCAGGGGTTGGGGGGAGCTCCAGGAGGGGAGAGAGCCCTGGTATGGCTCCTCCACACTCACCTGTTCCCGTGTTCCTGACGTGTTGAAGTCTGTACGTTTGCAGTGGGGAGCTATAATCCCTCTTGCTGCTTTAACAAATGATCCAAACTTTGCAACTTATAACAACCAAATTTGTTTTCTCACTGTTCTGAGAGTTAGAAGTCCAACACGGGCCTCACTGGACAAGCATCAAGGTGTGTCAGGGCTGAGTTCCTTTTGGCTCTTGGGGAGAGGCCCATTCTTTGCCTGTTCCAGCTTCTAGATGTTTCCTGCCTGCCTCAGTTTGTGGGCCCTTCCTCCGTTTGCAAAGCCAGCTCGGAGCACCTTCCTTCTCTCTCTCCCTCACCTCTGCTGCCATCATCACCTCCCCTGTGGCTCTGACCAGCTTTCCTCCCCCCCCCCCTTTACATGGACGCACGTGGCTGCCTTGGGCCCAGCTAGAGAATCCAGGATGGCGTCCTCATCTCAGGATCCTTAATTTAATCACACCCTCAAAGTCCCTTCTGCCATGTGAAATGACATAGTTCACAGGTTCTGAGAATTAGGAGGTGGAATCTTTTTTTGTCTGTTTTGAGACAGAGTGTCACTTTGTCCCCCTGGATACAGTGCCCTCACCACATAGCTCACAGCAACCTCAAACTCCTGGGCTTTAAAGATCCTCTTGCCTTAGCCTCCTGAGTAGCAGGGATACAACACCTGGCTAACTTTTTCTATTTTTAGTAGAGATGGGGGGGGGGGTCTTG